CCCCACCAACCTGCCCGGCAGCGGCGCAGCCCTGAAGGAGCTCCAGAGGAGCCGCTCCAGAGGCACTTGGGAGCCCGGAGCAATCCAGCCAGCAACACACAGGCAGGACACAGACACTGCTTCCTGGCCAGGGGAGGGCTTGTGGCCATCTCCAAGGACAAGGTCCTCAGGGTTCCCCACAGCTCCAGCCTCTGCCCCTCCATTTTGCTGGAAACGTTGAGGTTCCAGCAGAACCACCAAAGGCCAAGGGGCTTCTGCCCACTTTTGCTGGCACGCTGCACAGCGGGGCAAGTGTTGCTGAGCAAAAGGAGCCCTTTTCCCCTCTTCCCCAAGGCCCTGTGCCCACTGGGCACCAAAAAAAACTCCTGGGCTTCTGTATGTGATAACATGGATGTAATATTCCCATGCTGAGCTCAAAGGAGGTGCTTGCAAGGAAGAAGCATCTTCCCCACAGGCTCAGGTGGCTCCAGGAGATGGAGCTTCCCACATGAGTTCTCCACAGAGCATCAGCAGCACAGGCAGACACTGCCCTGCAGAAAAGGTCGGGCCTGCCACGCCCTGCACAGCCAGTCTTGGAGCTGCTGGAATCTGGAGTAGGGAGCCATCTGTACAGCTCTCAGCACATAGCAGTGTTGAATTGCCAGGCCTGCCATGGCAAGTCTGATGCCATCTGTCACACATGTATGGGCTGGAAGAGGTAGCAATGGAGACTACCAGAATGGGAAGAATGGAGTTCTCCGTACAGCTCTGATGATTTGGAGCGTTTCAACGGCCAGGTTTGAGACAGCAGGGCTGTCATCAGTTATGCTTTGAAGGGCTGGAAGAGAAAGGAAGAGAGCCAAGGTGAGAGGCCAGGGGTGTGGGGATGTGAGGAGCCCCTCCTGCCAGGGCCATCCCAGCCAGTTCTTGCCATGGCCAGGAGGGAGCAGGGCCCAAGGGGATGAGCTGGAAAGTGCTCTCGCTCACCTTGGCAGATGAGCTGCAGCTCTGGCTGCTCCTGCTTCATGGACCTGGCGGCGATCCCTGGGAACACAGAACCTGTCAGGCCCCAGAGGTACAGGTCCCCCGCAGCAGCGCTGCCAGCCCGGTCACACGGCCTCCTGGCCTGGCAGGGTTGAGCCCGGGGCCTTCCCGCATGGGGACACCCAGGGCTGGGCTGGCACAGGGCGGCAGCAGGCACCAGGCCACTCGGGGCTCCACATGCCCTGGGCCGCATCCTGCTGCCACTGCAGCAGCCGGGGCTGGGGCCGAGCTGCAGCAGGGCGGGGAGGGACCCCAGCCTTGTGGCTCACCCAGAAACTTGATGGCCAGCTTTCGCAGGGGCTCCTCTGGGCTCTCCAGGTACGGCAGGGCCTGGCGCACGTACTGGCTCACTCGGCTCCTGTCCTTTTCCAGCTGCAAAGAGCGCCAGGGCATGGAGGGAAGGCTGGGCTCAGGCTCTGCCCCTTGGCCGGGCGCTCCCTGCCCCCAGCACGGGGCTCCCCTGCCCGCAGAGCCCTGAGGCCCGTCCAGCAGCTGCTGGGACCGGGTTTGGGGGGAGCAGGGGGCTGGGTGCTCCCAGGGAGCCAGGGGCTGGGGCTTTGGGGCCGTCCTTACCAGGCACTCGGGAAACCTCCACGGCTGCTCCATGGTCACCAAGTGCTCAAGGTCCCTCCACTTCAGGAACCTGGTTGCACCAAACAGTGCTCTCCGAGAGGCCTGCACAGCAACAGAGAGCGGGCCATGGCACCGCAGCCCAGGGCACAGCACCCGCATCCCTGCGCCAAGGCCAGGAGGAGGCTGCAGGCAACCATGGGCCAGGGCAGGAGGAACAGCAGCCTCCTGCCATGGGGACACCAGAGCCCACGAGTCCTCACCTCTACCACACGCTGGTTCTCATCCTGCCAGTTGAAGTAGAGTGGCACCAGCCTCAGGTACGCATGTGGCTTTAGGCTCTTGCTCCTCTCTGTCGCTTCCAGCACCTCCCGGAAGAGGAGCATGGAGAGCTGCTGCAGCTGGCTGTGCTCCTGGTACAAAGGAAGAGGAAAAGACCTCAGCACTGGCTTCTCCAGGCCCACCGGGGCACAGGCCTGAAAAGGCACTGGGCCCAAAGTTTCCTGGCAGCACTCAGTGCCCACGATGAGGGGCACAGAGCCTTACGTTGTCAAAGAGTGGTCGCAGCGCCTCAAGCAACTTCAGGGCAGTGGGGTTGGATATTTGAATGATTTTCAAGCCCAGCACGTTGATGAACACAGAGAGGGTCATCTCAACCGCGTCTCTGTCTGCATCCTGCAGTAGCTCCAGGAGGCTTTCATTCAGGCTCCAGATGCTCTTAGCCTGTGTGGAACACAATGCTGGGGTGCAGCCCCACGCTGCTGCCGAGGGGCCCAGAGGCCAAAGGCGCGTCCCAAAGGAGTTGGGCAGCTGGACGGGGAGGAGGAGAGCTGGGAGCAGCTGCCACAGCTGCCAAAGGTCAGCCAAGGCCAAGCTACTGCCTTGCACAGCCCCACACTGCTGGCCCAGCTTCAGCCCCTGCCCCCTGCTCACCATTGCATGAGCCTTGCTGATCACCAGCAGGCCTCGGAGCGCCAGGCGACGCCTCTCTGGGTAATGGCTGCGCAGGCACCTTGAAATTATCTGTAGGACGCTGGGCCCACATTGTCTGGGGTTCAGGCAGTGCAGGACCTGAAAGGCAGGGAGCAGTGACGGGGGGCCCGGCCGGCAGGAGCCCGGACCCGCCCGGGGCTGGGCCCAGGCAGAAGCACAGGGTGCAGGCACCGGGCGGCTGCGGCTGTGAGAGGGCAGAGAGGGGGAGGCAGCTGGGCCAGGCAGCGCTCGCCATCAGGCTCACCTCCACCAGGAACGCCAGGGCAGGCAGTTCCCACAGGGGCTCTTCCCTGCTGAGCCGCGGGAGCAGGCTGACGGCGATGCTGCGGCAGAAGGAGCGAGAGACACGGCACAGCTCCCTGCAAGGGGGAATAAAGGTGCCACAGACCCTGAGCCAGGTGGGCAAAGCTCTCCTGGGACTGACTCACACAGGCCTGGTCCTTGGCCACAAGCCCAGGAGAGGACGTGAGCGCTTTGGGAGGTGGCTCCTCCTGTGCAGCCGCCCCTCTCCACCTTTTCCACTCTGCTCAGCCATCCCTGGCTGCCAAGGCCCTCTGGCCCAGGAACACGGGCACTGTGTGGGGTGGTGTGTGCACAGGGCAGAAATGACGGGGGCAGTAGGGAGAAAGGGCTCTCACCTGGCCAGCAGACCCACTGC